AAAGCTAAATAGCAGCTATCTTTTGTCTCTATTTCCTTTAACAGTTGAGACAAGTCCCTAACTGTTGTAATGCAAAAACTGATACTTTGAGTAGAAAACTCCCAGTGATGCAATTCCTTAATTTCTCTGTCAGTGGTACCTACTGCCTTTGCATAGCCAAATCTTTTATGGAGTTTAGGAATAAAATAAACAAATAGGGTAAAAATACAGTTCTAAGCTTCAAAAAAATAGCAATGCTTAGAAAACATATAATATTTACGTATAGTTCAGGGCTGGGGCTGCCCTTAAGTGCAGCTATTAATGCGTGCACACAGAATATTCAGATCCTCCCACCCCAAAACAAGAACTTGAACAGAGGTCTCCCTTGAAAACTGTGTCCTGCTTACCCTATGGAACAGTCTAACTTGCACCATCAGTAAGCAGTCTTTCCAGCTGATTTGGGCTCTCAGAGAAGAGTGAAGCTATATAAAGAATGAGAGAGTTGCCAGTCCTGTTCCATTTTCAGGCTGTTGACAAAGAAAACAAGCTACAGTTTTGTCACTTAAATGACCAGAAAAGTATAGTATCATTTACTTTGATTTAAACAGCAAAAGGCACTCAAGGCTAATGTAGACAAGCTGATATGTTAGTTAGGTTTTCAGCAGGTGCATGGTTCAGGGCAGAAATCAAATGATGACAGCCTTGACTACCAGGAAAGAAAAGTGTAGGCAGACCAATGTAAAACATAGAATATGTGCAGATATTTGCATTTCTCATGGAACCCATGTCTGGAACTCTTATGTTTTAAGCCGCTTTTTAAAATTCGGGAGATTAGAGGCCTTGAAAATACCATCTCTGCCACTCCCCATCTCTACAAAGTTACAGTTGGAATCAGAAGGTTAAGGAATATCCACATGGAGATTAAACCTGCAGATCTATGCATAAAAACAAATACTATGCTTGAAACTAGAACAACAGGACAGCATATTTTACGTTGTGATTTTTATTTAATAAGTTCACAACACTTGAAGGTGTGATGGCCCCCTTCCAGGTCTATTGACATGACAGCTTTGCCCCAGACATTTTTCAGTGCGGTCACAGAGCAAGAGACTACATAATGTAGTACAGGGAATAGAACAGGACAAGGTGTACAGCAAGAATGCATGCATGTTCTGATGGCTCTATTAAATATATATGAAAAAACAGTTTGGATTTAACAGGGACCTTTGGATTTTGAGAAGAAAAAATGCACTTATTGTAGGAGGCACAGCGGCAGTTTTAAGTATGATGGGAAGAGAAAGTCTGTACTAATGCTTCCCATTTTTCATGTTTAAAATTTCAGGCTTTCAGAGGGCAGAGAAAATACTGTATGTGTGGATGAAGAGGGACAAGAGGCAAAACAATGGCAGAGCCATCAAAGACACAGGACCATAAGTCTGAAAAAGATTTCCCAGCTCAGCAGCATAACCACAGCAACATACAATCACTTGCAGACATTTTTCACGTGCACATGTGTTGCTACTCACGAGTGAATTGCTGCAAGATTTCTTTATGGTACAGGAGAGATGCTCTGCATATCCAGTGGTCAGCACAAAGCATAGGTAGGAGAGTGGCTTGAGCAAAAAGCCAAGATAGAAGCAGAGGAAGGCCACAGGGCAAGGAGTGAAAGCTAGGCAGGCCTGGGCTTGTACAATATGTAGGAGACCCTAATATCCACGTAATTATACAGCTCCTTCCTGGATGTAGGCAAATGTTTTGCATTACCATTTCTTTCCTTTCAGAAGGAGCTTTTACTCCTCCCTTTGGAGTGGTCTTTGCAATGTACTGGGCTGCAGAAGCAGGGCCACTGGCCTGCTTAATGGTTCCCTGTCCTCAGGCAATGGGGAAACCCAGAACTTTAAGACTTTCCAGCAGTGTTTGTTTCTAAGGGATAAAAAGGAGTGGCTCTCTGGAGCACAGGGACGTTTGCTTTATGAATTTGAGAAGAGGCTCATTTCTACACATAAGAACAACTCCACCAGATCACACCAAAGATTATTCTGAGGCCCAGTATCTCATCCTTGCCACTGAACAGTAAGAAATGTGTAGGGAAAATATAAAACCAGGTTGACTACAATGGCTTTCTGCAACACTGTTAACTTACAACAACTTGTAGTTCAGGGACTTTGGCATTTTTATATTTAACAGTTTGCAACAGGATTTGAACACCTGCTTTTTAAACCTACATAAATTTTTAGCAATAGCAACATCCTGCAGTGAGGACTGCCGCAACTGAAGCATGCAGTAGGTCAAGAGCCATCATCCTCCCATCTGCTCTGACTCTGACTTCGTTCTTCGTTCAGTGCACCCCTCTTCTTGCTTGTGAAGGGACAGCAAACAGTCACTCTGGTCATTCATGGTTTTATAAACTATCATCTCCTTCTTCACTCATCTCTTCTCTAGACTGAAGACTCCAAGCCTGTACCTTGATTCGGATTACCCTAGCTGCTTTTGTCAGCAGTTTAACTGCTTCTGTTGCATTATTTTGCTCTATACAAATGGTCTTGACTCTTGTCACTGTGTCATATTAAACCTGAGTTTACATATTCAAATCTTTCACAAGTTTCTGTTCACTTGTCCAGAACAGATATTCTGGTTGCTGAGTGCAATTCCCAGACCTTCCTGCCAATCCTTTTTAGAACTGGTGGCATTTTACCTGTCTTCTGCTCTCCTGCTATTTTGGTGGGGTTGAACAAGAGGTAATACAGAACAGTCACTCAACTAAAGGGAAATAGGTAAGGTGGGCTTTAAAGGAGCATACAGCAATTTCCACTAGGAACTTTCTAGTTCTGATGGATCTTCTGCAGACTGAAAGGAATCTTTAATGTTTCAGATTCTGAGGAAAAGAACAGAAAGTTTTTTCCCTTTCCCTATCTATTCCCCTCCTGGCTGCTTTCTCTTGGGGCAACAGCTATTATGTTCTGTGTTTCGCTACCCCAGTTTTGATCATGTGAATCAGAAGGTAGAGGGGTAGCAAAATGACTGAAGGAAAATATTTCTACATGGTCAGACTTCTTTTGTTCAAGCTGATGCCTGTGCAGACACCAAAGGAAAAGTTCATCAAGATCTACAGGTGTTTCCAGTTGTGCCAGAACATTTTATTACTCAACACCTGGCAAAACCAGTGGCTGACCATGGCTGGGTTCCTGTCCACACCTATAACAAACCAGTGAGATTACAACATCCTGGTGGACAGTCCATGAATTAATTTAGTATTGGGAGCAGAGTTTCCAGCACCTGAACTCTTCTGGGATTTCCTCCAAGTTCTACAATGGGAATGTTGGCTTCCCAGGTAAAAAGAGGTACTTCCCCACAACATCTCCTCTGGATAGGGAATGGGATACCAGTGTTGCTCAGCACCGTGTTCATTCACTCCATGGTAAATTGGAGTGCCAGTCATTGCTCCTGCAGTGCTGATAGCTGGATCTAAAGGGACTGCTGACCTGAGAAGTATCAGCCCCACTGCCCACACCTGCAGTGACTACATACAGTCATCAGGGTGAGGGGCCAGGGGTTCACTGACAAACCCCTGGGCCTAGAGAGAGGGCAATACCAGACCAGAAGGGGGAATGGAGGTTGCACTGGAGAGGAGAGCCAAAGCAGGTACAGAGCAAAGCAGAGGAACAAAAGCTAGAACTATATGGGGATGACCCATGTGCAGCAAAAGAGAAGCTCTAATAAGCGATTTTGCTACAGTCAGGATGAGCTGAAGCTCTCCAAAGGAGGCTTTGCTCCAGGAAAACCAGAAAATGCTCTGCCATGCATGAGTGAGGACTTCTGCCCCTTCCCACTCTGGGAGTGGAGCTGCAGGTGAAGCTTGCAGTTGCTCTTATTTTGCCAAGCAGCCAGATATGAGCTGTGCCAATGCTCCTATGCTGTGTGAACAGGTTTAGTGAAAAACACACAGCACAGGTGCTCCTTGAGGGAATTTGGAAAAATAACATCAGAATCCCCTCTGCGGGTCCTGGTCCCATGCAGAAGGGCATGCTGCACTTCTCAGTGTGAAGGAATTGGTGTTCCAAGCCCTGGACAGGTTTGGCAAGCCGCTGAGGCTGACTATCATGTTACCCTAATCCCCAAGCTGTTTTGTTACCATACCTGCAGCTGCACTGGCAGAGCAGTAGTTGTGTTTTCTCTCTTATCTACTTACAGAAAAGTCCCATCAATTTAGTTAGAGAAGTAAGGCCATAGGCAGGCACTTTCTTCCAAATTCAACTGGGGAGACTTTGGCCTTCAGATGTCCACCTCCTATCCACTCCCCAAGCCATGTTAGCACCCCACAGTCCCACTGTTGAAGTGGTTTGAGACAGCTTGAAATTGTGTCAAACAAACAGAGCATCCAATCAAACTGCTCCACCTAATACAGACATGTGAGCAGACACAGTATCTTAGAATAAAGTGGTAGAGGATAAAAAACAGCTTTCAGGTACACAAGTCTTTCTTCATGGCTGAAAGAGCAGCTTTCAAAGACAACTACAAGGAAAGACCAAAACGTTCAGAGTTCAGTCCATCACAGAAAGGATTAAATATGCGTGACCTAACCACTGTGTTTCACCTGAAGTAAAATAAGGAGAACACTCACGAAAAAACCTCTTGGCACTGCATGGAGCTTTCCTCCAATGTCATGCTGAGCAGTTGCTGGTGGTAGCATTTGGTACAGCTGGAACTGGCAAGGCTGGCAAGGCTGCCTAGTCATACCCTTATTCTCCTTTTCCTACTATATCCATTTAACCTGCTAAGATAAAGCTATTCAGAGATACAGCGGGCTAAGAATGGAGTGTCCAGGGAAGGAGGGGAAGAAACTAAACGTTTTAATTAAAGAAGACAATACTCTCACGCAGGATATCAGAAAACTCAGCACTAAAGATATAAACTGTTTTGGTCCAAGTACAGCACACATATAACTTCTCGTGACATATACCTCAATACAGCTGACAGAACTACAGCACGCCTGAATGTGGTCACAGTGCAGACAACAAACAGAAAGGAATTCCATCATCTTTAATACACAGGCAAAGCCTACAGAGACCACAATTCTCTGTCTTAATATAACTGGGTAAGTTGCCACAGAAATATGTTCATATTAGAGACAAAACACAGCTGCAAGAGTCTCTAGAGCACTGCTGGCCATATTTATCTTGTGGGTTACACTTGGCCAACTCTGATTTAAAAATCAAAGCAGGTAAATTTTTTCTCCACTGTAATACTAAATAACAGATTTACTGAATTGAGCCCTTACTGGCAACCCAGTGGATGTGAAAATGGGGTATCTTTAAAAAAAACCAAACAGAACAGACAAACACATAAGACACAGCCCCCACCATTCCCTCCATACACTGGGGCATACATGCTTGCAACATGAACTCCATAAAGCTGTATTTTATACAGCTGCATTTTAAAAACCACTGAACAGGTGACACTCCTTAGGTGGCCTCCAGGATTCAGTTCAGCAGATTTGCAGTTACACAGTCGCACAGATTTCTCTTTTCCACCTGAAGAAGCAGAGTTTCTGTCTATAAGAGGGGGAAACAAAAGCAACATCAAAAAACAAGTGTCAGCAATGTAAAACTAACTTGGTCCCAAAGAAAAGTCCACTTCACTTTTGTTCCAAGATTTGGAATTGGTTGTATGACATGAGGCTTGAGATAAAAATCAAAGTTATTGCTTACTGCTCTGCAATAAATTAGCCTTTGAGTGATTACTTGGCATTCCAACATGGCAATACTTCGGTGACACAGAGAAATTCAGTCTGGTACACACTCATGTTTTTCACATTAGTACATTCAGTATGTGTGTGGTGCTGTTATTTTTGTTTATTTATCTTTCTTACAGTCTTACTTCAACTGCACAAACTGGAGCATAAACTCTCAAATCCATGAGAGGCTTAAAAACCACGCCATAAACCTGTCAGAAATTTTCTTTGTACTTTACAACAAACTAAAAAAATTAAATTTGGAGTATTACAACCTGGACTCACTGTTGAAAGTTATACAGAGAAAGCAAGGCATAATTTAATCATAGAATATCTCAAGTTGAAAGACACCCATAAGAATCATCAAGTCCAACTCCCCACTCCTCTCAGGACTACCTAAAACTAAACCATATGACTAAGGGCATCGTCCAGGCACTCCTTGAACTCTGACAGGCTTGGTGCCATGACCACTTCCTGGGAAGCCTGTTCCAGTGACTGACCACCCTCTCAGTGACAAAATTTACTTCTGTTTTTTCTCCTGCCTCACTGTTGCTATTGTCAATATGCTGTTGGAGCCTTAAATAGATGATAGGTGCTGAGCTGGTATAGACATCACAGTTCAAACATGTGCTGAGATTGCTGGCTTCTTTAATGAAAGGAATCCCAAACTGGTGGAAGCAGAAGTCCCCCAGGAGATCATTGCTGTCCACAGGGATTTTCTGGAGCAATGAGGGCAGATTGGGAACTTCTCAGAGCTGGAGCTGGGTATGATCAGAAAGGCCTGCACCCTCTCAGTGAGAGGGCGAGAAGGGGCTGAGGACCAGGGAAGGGACAGCAGGACTGCATAGGGGAAATCTGGGAATCCTTCCTCTCTAGCACACACACTCTTTGGTTTCCCTGGCTGTCTGGAACACTTGTGGCTCCAGTAGATACATGATGGAGCACAGAGCTGTTTGACATCAACATCATCATCTCAGGTTGTCTATCATGAGCTGAAGCTGTATCTCAGAATCGGTCTACATGGGCTTCCTGACTTCCTCCTTATTGTCATGGGACACACTAGCTGGGGAAGTCCACTCACCAAATTAATCCCCACTGGTGTGACCAGGTACACACACACAAAAAAAAGGCATTATGAAGACTACCAGCTCTAAATTTAGTCAGTGAAATCCATCCTTAATCTGGCTGTCTTGTGATTGCTATATGAGATGGAACTGCCATGTGATTAAAGGCTGTGTTCTAAAAGCTGTGTTATCCATTGACCCACATCAGCTAAAGGCACTTTGAGCAGAGCTGGGCTGAAACACCCTGCTTACTACCTGCCTTATTAGTACAGGACAACCTATCAGTCGGATTTTTTTCCCAGATGATAAATCACTAGACACAGCCTTGTATCAAATCAGGTTTCACTTTTGATTGTTTTGGTTACCCTGCAAAACTGGAAAGATGTGATCAGACTTTGCTAATCACCTAAAAGACACTCAGTCACCATCTCACTGACATCATCTGCAATGGCTTGAATAAGGGAGGTTGACACAATGCCAGCAGCTTTGGAGCTAAGCTCCAAGGCTGCTTACCATCTTACATATCTTTAATAACATTTTCAACCCTGTGCTTTTACTTTCATGGGCACATCTAACTTAATGTGCTTTGAACTTTCCAAATAACCATTGACAGTTTAGAAAGAAATAAAGAACAGAATGAATGGCACTATATATGACTGTTTTGTAAAAATGATCACAAAACCATTTGCACAGAGATTTATTATTATCCCCTGGTGGGTTAAAGCATATTTTTTTTTAAAAAAAAAAAACAACAAACCCAAACCAGAAAAAACAAACAGGGCAGAGTACAGATTCTGAACCTACAAAAAAGCTGGTAAGTTTGAGTTAAAAATGCAGTTTCTGAGCTCTTTAAAGTTGTAATACAATGTCCACTGGTTAACTGAAAAAATGGGCTGGAATTTTGAAAATAAGTGTCTATAGTGTGGACTTACGAGTGGACTGTGTAGCCCAGTCTGGATTTGTTTTACAGGATTTGTTTTATGGCCTGCTCCCTGCTGGTCTCTGTCTTGAGCAGCTTTTAGATGCAGTAGGGAGCTGGCTGTGAACTGGCTGAATGGTTTTGATGATAGCAGCTCCCTCACAGCAGTACAAGAACCCTCTCCCTAGTTCATGATCAGAGCTGCACCTGCCACATACTGCACTCTGGCTGAGTGAATCACAGATACCCCCAGAGAGATTGCCCAGAGTTGGTTACTGATGTTAAAACAACTAATCCAGCCTGCAGCCTGCTCCAAGGGGCCAGCAGAGACAAAAGGGTAGAAAACAGTATGCAGGGGGGCAAACAGGTCTAGTACAAGCATGGGTAGTAGCCAGCCTCTCAGAGGTAGTCTGTGACCCTTCTCTTACCACATGAGTAAAATGCAGCCAGCCTGTCAATCAGTAAGTGATCAACACATCCCTGTAGGTTACAAACATGTCTAGTCTTGTAAATGAAAGGAGATACAGGGTATGGCCCCCATAAAAGATTATGTGACCTAAGCTAGAGCCAGTTTGCTTTGTGAGACACCATGCAGATCAACATGGGGCCAAATTAAGTGTGAAAACTCTTGAGTTGTGCAATAAAACTATATGGTTTCCCCTGTACAGAACTGCAGGTGAAATTTGCAGGAAGAATTAAATGTGAATTTTCTCTATAAGCTTTTGGGAATCCCTCCACCTCCAACATGCTTCAGAGCTGCTTAGTCATAATCTAAATATCTTGACTGCAAACAAAAGAGTTTTTCACAGAAATTATGTCTCCAGTAGGAATATTAACAAAGGGAATTGTATTTTTGGGGACAGAAACATTTGCCCTACTAAGCAACAAAACTGACTAAAATAGTCAAATGTAAAATATATAAGTGGATGAAAGCAATTGTCTTAAAACTACCAGTTTGCTTCAAATTAGGCCACAGCTGAATAATAAAACTAAGAATTGAAACAATGTAGAAGGCAGTTCCAAGAAGTCCTCAACTATTACATATTTCCATGTCTTTTGAAGATGTAGACAGCATTCCTAGCTTAATGAGTAGAATAGGTCTGTCCTAGCCCAGAGGCACTGAAAGATCTCAATATGTATTTAATTATTTAGATTTTAAAGTGATAAGGAAGCAATAGGTTTGTTTTGGTGAGAATATATCATGGAGCCACATTTTCAGGCTTGCTGTTAAATCTATAACTGTGAAAGTCAATAATAGGACATTCCTCTCAACCAAACCTTTTCTGTGTCCTCATTTCCTTTCCTTGGCTCTCTTTTATTTTTATTCCGTAAAAAGTATTAAAATATAGTTGATAACTTTGAGGCTCTTATTGCTACTCCAGCTTTGGATATCTGTATTTTAAAAAGCTTCTCTCTTGGTCTGCAAGCTGCAGGTGTCATAAAGGTCACTGCCATCACCAGACAACCAGAGAAGATTTGAGTAGTTGAGATATTTTTGAATCAAGACTTAGAAATTCTGGTAAAAAGTTCAAAGGTTTGTAAAAGAAGGAAAAGGTGGGCTAGAATCACTTTACATCACAATCTGAACATCTTGTTTGGGATGTATACAGTGCTCAGCAGAGGTATTAATTAATGAGATTCCTTCATTAAGAAGCCCAAAATACATGTGACCTGTAATTACTGAACAGATTTTGTTTAACTGTAAATGTTCTACATACCAATCTGGTTCTGCTGGAATGTTTGTTTGTTTTTTTGTAGTAAGTCATAACTCAAGGCATCTTCATTCCTGCACTTGCATTTTCACCTAAACATCATGGACCCTGCTTGGAGTTATCTCAAACCATTCTTCAAAGATGCCAGTTCACAGGCAACTCAACAACCTTGACCATAGATTAGAAGAGCAAAAAAGTTTGAGTGCCTTCTGTTGAAAAATCTGTGCAAGAGTGTAGATATAGCACGTCAGCTAAAGGGTACACAGGAGGTAGGGAAAAAGCTCCTCTCCTGAGGCACCACTATCTGACAGCAGCTGGGATACAGCTAGTCACAGATTGCAGGTTGCAGTAGCAAGAGACAGATTCAACTTTTCTCACAGAAGGAAGATATCAACCTTGGCAAATTCTTCACACTGACTGCAAGCCAAAAAGTTTCGTTCCCTATGCTGTTCTACTTTGTGGCATTCTTCATCATTATGGACTCAGAGCAATGTAAAAAGTATCAATGAGAAGATGTTTCCTCCCTTAGCCTCTCCCCAGGGGTAAAATCATGTGCAGGGGAGTATTTTATTTTAGTAGGTTTTTTGTTTGAGCTGTCTCTCTCCTTTTGGGTAATAAATACAAATGATGCTGTCACCTTACTCCCCCTAACATTAAAAAAAAAAAAGGTGAGCTCAGCGTTTGGAATGAGAATAGCAATGCTAATGGCTGTAACTAGGCAAGAAAGGGATAGAGGGCTGAGGACTGTCACTTCACTCTTTCCTAAACTTCCTAGTGTCCCTGATACCTCAGGGCAGAAGTATTCCACAGATTATTGCATAGACGGGTGGAATGTAATTACCCAGCCTTGCCTTAGAAAATAGGACAGTACAGTTGGCAGTGTCTTGTACAAAATCCATCCACCTTATCTACTTTTATCCCCAGCATTTTCTTCCATATAAAAAAAAACCCAAAACCACAACAATGTTTCCTCACCCGTGTGTCTAGATTATATGCTGTCTTCTTTAAATCCTGCAGAGCCCTCTGCATGAACTCAAATGCATGGCAGTCAACACAGGGACGACCTAGGAGAGCATTTAGTAGAGCATTTAGTAGAGAATCGTGACTATATGGCATGAAGTGTTAAGTAGAGGAATGAAAAGGGATTTTGACTATGAGGAAGAGCTAGAGAAAAAGTCCACAGAGTAAGTACTGACGTATGTACTCTTGAACAATGCAGGTTATTTTAAACAGTCCATCATGATGGTCCACCCAGTCTCTCAATGACAAAATAAATACTTCAACAAATCTGCAATAAAAATTTTTTTGCTCCTTTATTGCTGTTCCCCTCATCCTTCTTTTGTCACAGTTCATAGTGTGTAAACACTAAACCCATAACTGGAGTCTTTCATTTTGCTCCACCAACCCTGAGCACATTTTCAATCTCATCTTCAGATTTTTCAGATTTTGCAGAAATTACCTCTGAAATCATGAACCTGTTTCCTGGAAAATATTGTCTCCTTATCTCACAAACTTGAGCTCTAAATAGAAAGCTAACAGAATAAAATTTACTACAATATCACAAAGACAGATCACTTAGCCACTAACTTTGTTCATGATACAGCTTTGTCCAAAGCTAGTGAAGCAAGCAGCAGATAAACACAATGTCCTGTCATTAGTGGGCATTGCTGATAAGCAGAACTGCTGTATTCTGGACTAATTACAGCATTTAAGATAGTATTCTCCCATCTAGATATCCAGACTGAAGGTCACAAGGCTTGCTTTGCCTTGATCGTCATTTAACACAAAGCTGTGCCCTAACAGATAGCAGTACTGAGACAGAACAAATATAGACATGATGAAATGTCTTTGAATCATCAGGCTCTACATATGCTCTTATTTGCTTCTCAGTGCCTGTGCCTCTCTGACAACTTCATAGGAAATATTGCGCAAGTGAGAAATTCTGACACAGGTTTAGTTTGCTCTTTGAGGTCTGGTAAGGAAGAAAGGATGAAACCTAGAGTGATGTTGGAAAATCCTGCAGTGTCTGTCAGCCTATTTTGCAAACACTTGATATTTCACTGATTACTACATGCCTCTGATAAGCTGGAGTATGAGCTTCCAGCTCATGATCTGTGTGCTAACCAGCAGAGAGGAATCCTGCCTGCTGGAGCGGAGTCTGCCAAACTCTTTAACTGGCTAAGAAAAAAAAAAAACAAACCAGATATAAAAAATAAATATTGAGCAGTATTAAAGACCTCCCCTCTCTCATTGTTGTACCACCACGCAACCTTACTGTTATTATATTTGCACCAGACAAAAGGAGAGGACAGCATATTCCACATCAACAACTTGCTGCAAGGACCTGTCATTACGTTTATGATGTGAAATAAACTCAACACAGATCAGCAAAGGAGAATTAGGTGGTTGAAGGCTGCAAGACTAGGGGTTGACAAAATGTGCTGTCTTGGCATCTTCATTGTGAAATTTTTAATAAAAACTACTGACTCTAATACAGTAGACATTATCAAGAATGAAAGATGTAATGAACAGTCAATGTCAGTTGAAAAAAGCAAGTCTCAGTAATGTCTCTGAAAAGCAAACAGGGTGATTCCTGGCATAGAAGGTGCTAACAGAATGAAAGGGCTATACAGAAGAAAAGGTGCAAAACAGTTGCAGATTTCAGGTACAAGTAAGACAGCGACAGGCATGAGACAAGGGTAAGAGAGTGGAGAGCCTTGGATGCAGGAGAAAAACAGCACTGGTATGCTACCAAGTTGTGGTTTTAAAACAACATAAGCAAGACATGTCAAAAATAGTTTGAATTATTTGGACAAGCTTCAGTGATGTGAAGTCCTGCAACATTAAAAGTACAGTACAAGCTGTATGAGAGGACTGTAGGGTGGTACGTACTTTCAGCTGGTATGGCTGTTCCCGCTTCTTGATCAGATCTAACAGGCTCTGCAAGAAGCAGTGCAACCATAAAAACTAAAGGAACTGTAAGGACAGCTCTTCTCAGAAGGCAGGGTGCCAGCATCTTGGGAACGGGTGCTTCTCTGTTTATCAAGAGACATAAACAAGTTAGTGAGGAACATTACAGGTACAAGGGTTTTGTTACAAAGAACTTAATGTTCCTGATGGCTAAAGCATTGGCAGTCTTCCACTGAAAGAAAAAAAAAAAAAATCAGAAGATCTAGAGCATGGACAAAAGTTCTCTGTACTCTTCCAGCAGTGCACATAAAACCCAACTGGGAGAGAATGTCCCTAGACATGAAGAAGATCAGAAATCCCTAGACAGTTTTTGGTTTCATTTGCAAGCCAGGATACCAGCAACTAACTACACAGTCCCAACTAGCACATGAATCTGGATAGCTGGTTCACTGTTAGACTTTGAGATCAAAACTGCAGGGATTACAGAGCTGGCTGAAATAGAGCTGAACCTAGAAATGAGTTTTTACCCTCTAGCTTGCTTTACTGATGCACCACCTTTCCACAAGTATAATAACTAAAGGTAACCATTATCATCAACTACACATCACACCGATCGTAAAAACTTACTCCTTTATAAAAGTAGCTGAAGGAAAAGACTTTGTTAAATCTCTACAAGTTCATCGGTAAATACATCAAAACTCTTTGATTTTCTGCTTCCCCTCCTAATTTGGGCTTCAGACCTTCATTTACAACTATCCTTCTGTTCCTCATAGGAAGATAGGCACAGCCTGATCCAGCAACAACTCCCCTTACACAGAGGTAAATTTTTTTGTAAGTACACGGGTTTCAAATGAAGTATTTTCTTGATCCAACAGGTAAACTGTCCAGATCAAGAAGGCACACGGGAAACTTGGACCGGCTCAAGCTGCAACTGTCAATTAGAGATTTCAATCCAAGTCTCAAGAATCCTGGCAAACCCTTAGGGTGGTCCTTTGTTCAGCCAAGTTTATGTTCCATTCCTGTATGTTCAAATGGAAGAACGAAAGAAATAATCAAATAAGGTTAAGTTGTTGCAACACAGTAAAATCCACTTGAAAAATCTCTTTAGCTAAACCCAGGAAAGTAGGACAGTGTTCTGTCTCTTCCTGATTTTTAAGTTGGTGCATACTAAGCAAACGATATTGCATAAGAACATCAAATATACATGTACTGAATGCGAGAGTACAGCACTCCCCAAAACAGCTTGTATTTCATATTTCAGAGGGCAATAGGGGGAGACAAGAAAGGAAAGGTTTTTCCCCATCTTGCCACAAACACAGAACCAAACAAGCTTGCTCTTCAATATATGCGATCCACTGTTTCAGACACAGCTAATCTGAAGCTGCAAATTCTGCATGAACACTTGCAGCATGTGCAAATCAGCAATTCATCCAGGAAAGGAGCAGCATTATACCCATCCCCTTTCTGTGCACCTCACCTAAACATAAGAGTAGGGGATGGTTCAGAAGCAAGAGACACAAATGTACATGTAGAGTCACAGATATATTTGGGCCCACACCAATAAAAAAGATCTAGTAATGTAATTCCTATAACCTCAGAACTGGGTTCCCTATCTGTTCTGCTATTTAGAAGTGATCTGATGTGATCCTTTTTCTTATTTTTACAGTCCTTAAAATAAAGGGATTAAAATCATAATAAGCAGCTTGGATTTTCTGTTTTAATTAATGGTGATCTGCAATCAAAGCAAGTACAATCAAAGACAACAGGCTTTGCAACAGGATGCAGCAGAGTGTCTCCAAGTAACAATAAATTAGGATGATACCAGCCTCCTTTGAAAGTACCTAATGCAGAAGCCTCCTGGTCAGTAGGAGCAGAGGCTATTCTCATAGTTGACTATGAGTGCTAAAAAGGTTCAACAAAACAGAGCAGATAAACTGTTAAACTTCTTCAGGATACCTTACACATCACCCAGCTTCAGCTTCAGCTTCATATGTGAGCCCCGCTGAAAAACAATTGCTCCCTGAGTGCAGCAATCACCTTAGATCACATCTAACTACTGCCTCTTAGTTATTCTGTGGGAATTCGCTATATGCAAGGAATAATCATGACGGGCTTCAAGGGTGGTCTCTCTCTGCAGTGCAACTGGGAATAGAGACAGATCTGTGCATGGACTTCTGTGAAAGAGAAAAGTCACCCCCTCTAACAAAGGAAAAAAAAATCAGTACCTGATCTCTCTCTCTCGTCTTTGTGATGGTCTCTTTGAAATGGCCGCTGCAAACTGCTAACAGAACAAGTGCAGCATTTCTGAGCATGTGCACTGTCTCTTTTTAACCTTCTCTGAAAGAGGTTATTACTATGGGGAGATTTCTGCCATGGCAACAATGCAGAGCACTGCAGCACACAGCACAGATTTAAAGAGGAACAGGCTGTGTCTCGAAGGTCTGGGGAAGGATGATTCTGCTTTGACATGTGAGTTCCAGCAGCGACTTACCTGCTCCAGGTAAGGTTTTTAAAGCCAGGCCGTTTGATTCATCTCTCTGGAAGTCTGCCGAATGGTTTTCCCGAAGTCTGCTCAGCTGGATGCGGTACCTGACTGAAGCAATTTGCTTCCCTAGTGCCTGAAAATGACCATGACAAATTACATCTGCTCTATGGGAAACCAGGAAAAACCATGGGATCGTGCTCAGGAACTGCAGGACACATCACAGGTGAGACTTCGGTGAAGGCCAGGAATTGTTCAGCCCGCAGTCTGTCATTTGAATGGTTCTGTGTTACAGGGATCATAGCCACTCATGCCTGCTTTCCTGGGGGTTCCTGTGATCCCAGTCTCAGGGCCACTTGAGTGGCACTTGGCACTTCACCCCCCTTGTCCAGCCAGAGCCAGGGCAGCTCTTCTCCCCTCTGTGTCAATGCCCCATGAGCTATAGTACAGAACAACACTGATGGCACTTGTGCTTGAATGCAATACAGTAATGGAGTGCAGATGATAAAAGTGCTTTTCTCAAAGCAAAGCTAAGTTCAGGGGTCACATCTTCCCCCAAAACACACTTCCCATCACAAATTAGACATGAGCAGCTCTTGTTCCAGAGAGAATGAGCACAGCTGAGGGCAGACACAGCACTGAGAACCATGCACAGAACTTCAAAGGGATCGTGCTCTGTGTTTGCTTTAGCCAGTTCAATAGGGACTCAATCTTAAATGTTTTCATGGTGAAAGCTGGGGGCATTTAGTATCCAGAAAGGTCAGGGACACAGCTTTTTTTTTTTTTTTTTTTTTTTTTATAATGAGCAGAAACTCCTCCTCAGAATTATGACTAACTGGCTAACATTTCTTTTCAACATGCTTTATAACCTGTCTCTCCTGTACAGCCCCAGGGGAATGGTTTGCTCCTATTAATTCAGCTTTTTAAGCAAGATACTAAAATTTCAGGTTGTTCAGTGTGTAACCGTGCTGCTATATGAAGTTACAGCATCCATGAGCAGCCAAGAGAGGATTAATTCTAGTACTGTCATCCTTATACATCACAAAAACAGAAAGGGGAAAATAATTTTTAGAGACTGTTCTTTTGGGCAAACAAGATTTAATGTTCTTGCAGAGGTAAGCATATGGGATTTGGTCTGATTAGGTATCTGCCTATACACAAATTACAAATGCAGAACTGTATTCATGATCATTCTCAGCCATCTAATCTCAAATCTTGACATCTCTTCCTGATAAACAATATGGTGACCTACCTTCTTTAGCCTTGTCCTAAATCTACTTGTCCTGCAAAGAACTTCCTTGTTAGCATTTTAACGACATTTCCTCTTTCTTCACTTCTCTCCACTCTGTACTGTGTTAAACACAAGCTTTTCTCTTCATTGAAGCTAATATTTTCCTCAACTGGAAAATATCAGTTCACCAAGGAGATCTTCCACAGAGGATGCTTTGAAAAAAATTATTTTGACAATTTTCAAATTGATAATTTCTGGCTTTCTGCTTCAAAATTATTTCCTGTTAAACCTAAGCTTAACAGAATAAAAATACATTTCATGCTTAGTTCATGGAACTGCAGAGTGGGAGCAGCACTCATGTTAAGGGTATTGGGGCATGTCCCCATCAGAACATTACAACCTCAATAAAATCTCTCCTTCTCTTATTTCTCTCATGCACAAACCACGAGTGCTACAGATGCTAGCCCAAGGGCACCCCAAAACTGGAAGTACAGACCAGAACTGGGACTATACACATGGTACCTGCACAATAGCCCTCAGTGGTGATTTCACTGGTGTGCCCAAAGTCACAGTGGTAGTCATGTGGCACCTTGGGCTGAATGTGAAAAGCAGTATCTAGGTGACAGCTGAAACATCCTGACTCTCCAGCTGCCCCGGGAGATCATTTGTGAGGTAAGCAGAGAGAATGTATACTTTCTTTTTATAATGAAGTCAAACACAATGGGGTTTTTTTCTGAGATCCCCACCAGCTAAAAAGCATCAATGCACTGTTTCTGAGATTTCAATTTTTCATCTTGATAGCATGTCTTTTGATACTATAAATATTTCTGTGGGATTGGGAGAAAAGCTCAAGCCTTTACCTCTAAGCCTCTTCACTGCTTGGTCTCTCCTTGGCTCTTAAATCTAATACTCTGTCACAGCAGAAAATTTTCTTCCTTCACTAACAGATTCTGTCACTTCTCCTGCAGACACTTTTATGCCTTCTCGCAGCCTGCCCTCTAAATCAAGGTAAAACTCTCCCCACAAGGTACCATCTTGTCTTCCATCAAATCCTCTTTTAAGCTTTACCTCTGCCACGAATCCTACAAAGCGCTGCTGCCTGGCAGAGCCTGGGGAGGAAGCTGGCTGTGACTGCTGATGGTATGCAAATGTGCTCGTTATACCAATATCTCACTGCCTCACACCTCTCGCTGAGTCCCCCCTTGTCATCCCTCCACAATCCCTGGCTGCAATAGCTCAAGGGCAGGGGCTGTGTTTGCACTTGTTGGCGCAGCACCACAAGGCTGGAGTGTTGATTGAGGCCTTCAGGCAGATGTGATGAATAATAATGTCAAACCACCTAAAGCTGATCGCAATGTCCCACACTCTGATATATGAGCTATTCATAGAGCAAGCCTCTTATTCTTTTCCCT